AAAAAAGAAAGAATTAAAGATAAAAATGAAATAGTCTAATAGAACATTTCTATAACAAACAAACATACTCATTAAAAACAAGTAATAACAATGATATGAATAACATCACAGAGAAAAAGGAACATAACTCTATCAATCTCTAATTAAATACTCTTATTTTCATTGTACTGAATAATTTTCTGTTTTTACTAGATTATAGTCAAATAGCCTTGAATAACCAACTACTTTGAAACTTTTTAAGAAATACTATTTAATTTTTAAATCATATGAGAATTGAAAATGATGAAAAGAGATAAAAATTGAAGTGTTAATTTTTATGAGAATTGGTATGGTTGTGTATTTATATATGACCACTAATTTAATATGACAACACTTCATTATTATATTAATAAAAGAAATTGAAATAACACAACAAATAGTGATTTTATAATAGTGTCAGAGTAGAATGTAAGACTAATATATATTTAATTCAATTTACTTTATAATTCAAAGAATATTGTTTTGATAAGAGACTTGAAAGAAGATAAGTTATGTCAAGAATGAAATTGAATCATCTTGGTTATTCGTCATTCATATTATTAGATAGTTCTAATTTATTGACACTCTATTAAAACGTTATATGAGTTTCATTCAAACAATAAAAGATATTATAGAATATTTCATTGAACATTATCCCTTGGAAATAACTAAATTTACAATAAAAGATTATGTTATTTAAACACACTTAATAGAAATTAAAATGAATTAATAAAAACAAGTTAATTAGTGTCAAAATACTCATAAGTAATTGGGGTATTAGTGACTGTTTTGACATACTCAATGAACTTCTTGTAATGAGAAGAAGTTAGATGAGTTTCAAATTGGTTCTTGTTTTCCCATCTTTGAATAACCATATAATGTGTTGTGTTTGTAGGTTCTTGACAAACAAAATAAGACTTACATCCCTTCTCTTTTCTACTGTTGTTTTGAAGTTCAAGGATTTTAGCAAACAATTCACGGTCTTCGTGCATATGAATGTGACATTGAACAAGATATTGCATTTGTTTTTCTTTAGTGATTAATAAGTTTTGCTTTGTCTTTAAATACCCACTTCTTCCCCAAGCCTTCGAACGACATTTCTCCCTTCAACTATATCTCATTCGAAAATAATTCCTTCATTACGAAAAACCTCTACTTCAACTGAATTATATCAATTTCGTATTTAAATATTATTCAATCTAAATTCTGTAGTTCAACACATCATTGGATATTCTTCAACGATGAGAATAATATTGAAACATTATTAATTGAATTTTTGTTGAATTTTTATTTTTGTATTTTCTAAAAATATAATTTCATTCAAAATTCAAATTATTGATATTTTGTTGAAATAATATTATGTTATAGAAAACATAAAAATATGAGATAGAATTTAAAAACATTCAACGAAAGAAATACAATTAAATTAACTCAAATAATAGTTAGAAAAGCTTAATAATGTTGTTCATCAAGAATGAAAATATATCAAATTAGGAATACTCTAAGTTGAAATAAAACTTAGTTTATTAAAACTGTGAAATACTTTAAATTTTCTATTTGTTTGATTATGGAATAAATGTGATTCTTTTAACATTTTGAATGATAAAGAAATTAAAACCATCAAGAAACTTATCAACACGACATAAATTTACGAAACTCAAATTCGTTGTTGTTGTTTGAATAGATAATATGTTTATATCTTAATGTCCATCTGCTTTCATACACTCTTCATAACTGTCATCATTGAGATACTCATCAATTGCTTTGTTAATCATTTCATTTCTCTTATCTTCTTCTTTTTCTTTATTGTGTTGTTCTTCATTAACTTGGTTAGTATCATTTCGTTCATTTTCACCATCAGACTGATGATTCAACGACTCATATCCAAATGTACTTTCTTCAAAATTGAAATAATCTTTATTTTCAGCGTTTGTCTCATCATCTGAACTAAACTTTTCATTCTTCCAATCCCATTCTTCATTCTCAACAATCTCCCCTTCAAATGAGTATTTACATGGTTCAATAACTGCACTCTCATCTTGAGGAATATCTTCAAATCGTTCATTTTTTAACTTGTCAATATTAGTAGTTGTGTCAATTGGACCATC